TTTGAGGTTGCTGTGAGCTATGATGCCACAGCACTCTAACCAGGGTGACAGCTTGAGACTCTGCCTCAAGAACAAATAAAAAACATTTATTTCATAATTCTGGATGTCTTTTTTCAAATCCAATCCAGATTTTTAATCTATCTTGGTACGTAAAGATACCACGTATCATGAAAAATCTTAAGATAAACAGGAAAAAGTGAAGTTTAGACTTCACTAATCCCATTCTTCCAGGCCCCATCTTTACTGTCTAGTACCCTTGGCAAGTTACTTTGGTTCTCTGTATCATAGTTTCTTTATCTCTAAAATGGGGAAATAAAATACCTATTTCATAGGATTATTTCACAAATTATTACATAATCACTCTGAATGGTGCCTTGCAAAGGAGCATCCAATAAACCATGACCATGGTTCTTCTCTTGTGTTATGTGAAATTAAAAACTGAAAGTTCCTCATTCTGTCCTTAAAGTTTATCTAAAAAGCTACTCACACAGTGAGACTTGGATTTCAGTTCCTACTTTATTCTCTAAAATGCAAACCAAGACTAGCTGCACAAAGAAAGGAAGAAGAAACAAAGATAATATTTAAGACAAGGATTTTTAAGTATCCATTTATGCAGTATTTGATAATGGAGAAGTAGTTGAATTTTATCAGCAGGAAAAATTTATTTATTAGTACCCTTACTAATCCCAAAAAAGCATCTGAGACACAAATACTTACTGTTTTACAGCATAAAAGCCTCAACAAATTACAAACATAAAAACATCTAATTCATTTTCAATGACCCAGAAAGGCAGAGAAGTAAAATATGTCTTCAAATCTACCTCATGAACAGAAATAGTTGGAAAACACCAGTTTTATTCTATCATTGTCTAAAGATCCATAAGGCCTAAGAAGCTGATCTATTTACAGTCCAATACTGATCAAAACTACATGCAATAAAAATACTCAAACATAGTATATACTTTGAAGGACAAATACTTATTATTATCACTTATAAGATATGTCTTCATTATATATATCATGACAAGAATGTGATTACAAATCCTGAATTCCTATTATTATAATAATATAAAAGAAACATTCTTTGTGGCAATTCAATTACATCATCATTCATTTATGACATCACAATGGAAATAAGAAAGCTATCACTAAAAATTTTTGTCTTTTCACTAAAATCAAGGCTAAGAGATGCTTCAAATCATCCTGCTACTTCCTTACTCTGAAAGATTATCTTCAACTCATTGTCTTAAAGTCCATTTTATGGGAAGTACAGAATTTCCACTATGCTTACTCACCAATTTCCCAGATAAATACATGTGTACAATGAACGCTAAGACACGGAAATTTTCTCATTAAGGAAAAAAAAATTGTTCTAGCTCTATAATTTACAAGCAGTAGTAAATCAGATCCCTCATCTTATTCTGTTCATGTATACATCTACTTTCTTATAAGTCTTTCCCCTTTATTGTTCATTTTAACTCAGAATACTTAATATTTTTTAAAAGTTTTAAAACTCTACTTTGAATTTTACCACAAAGGATCCATTTTACTAAGTATTTTTACACATGTGTATATATATTACCCTGAAGTTATCTGCAATGCGGCATAGCTTTCAAAATACAAAGAAGGCTTTTGTTTAGAATTGGACTTTAACTCTTCCACATCAAAACCTTGAAAAGCCAACAAAAATCATAATATTCACCAAAAGTCAAGGGCTTCAAGTCAGCAAATTACAAAGAGATAGAGTCTTGCCTTGTCATCTTTCCCTCTTGCTCTATTATCCTTGTCCCTACTTGTAGAAGGTTTTTCACTCTTTGATATAGGGTGTGCTCGGCCTACAGGTCCCCGGGCTCCTACTCCCGCCATGTCTTTCCTCAGAGGTCTTACTTCTCGATTGGAACGCCTGATCTGAGGTGGAGCTCTGACAAAAAAAATAAATAAATAAATAAATAAAGTTAAAATTAATCAAAGGCAAAAGTGTTTCAATACAACTTTAGTCAACAAAACTACTCAACCAAGAAGCCCCAAATCTCACTTTTCCATTTTTTGTCAATTCATGGCTCTAACTATTAGGTTAGTTGTCAAAAATTCCTGTCTCTAAAATGTACTGGCTGATACAATTATTAAAAGCATATGAATGACACATATGGCAGCAATTATTTTGTCAAAAATAACCGTTAATCACCAATAGAGGGCAACATAGACTAGCCCCATCTAATAATTTTAATACATGTAGAGTAATGGAAAATCAGTAACTATCTTAAACCAAGGTATTAAAAGTTGAAAGGACAGAAATTCAAAATATGTCTATTTGCACAGTTTACTAATTTATTATTTTTTATGACCAAGATGATTTTCTCTGCTTCTGTATAGAAAACTCAACATTTCATTCATTAAATTACAAAAAGCAGGGCTTAATGATTACTTTTTCTTTTTTCTTTTTTTTTTGAGACAGAGTCTCACTCTGTCACCTTGGGTAGAATGCAGCAGTAGTATCATCTTAGCTCACAGCAACCTCAAACTCCTGCACTCAAGCTATCCTCCTGCTTCAGCCTCCCAAATACTTGGGACTAAAGGCATCCACCACAATACCAGGATAATTTTTCTATTTTAGTAGAGACAGGGTCTTGCTTTTGCTCAGGCTGTTCTTTTCAAAGTCCTGACCTTAAGCAATCTGCCCTCCTCAGCCTCCCAGAGTACTAAGTTATAGGGATGAGCCACCACATCCAGCATACAATTACTTTCTTAGAAATAAAATAATTTTGTATAAAATATTCATGCTTTGAAGGGGTCTAAAATCACAGGATCATTCCAATCATACAGGCCTCCAAATGTGATTAAGAATTTGATAAATATATAAATGTCCCTATACAAAGTG